AAAGGTTGTTAACAAGTTTACCATGGCCTTCTACGTTTGAAAAAGTTAATTTCTCACAGCCAGACTTTACTAGTTTGGATGTAGTGACGTTTGCAACTGCTGGGATTCCTGTTGGAACTAATACTCCTAACTATGATGATGTACGACAAGTTGATGGATTTAAAAATGTTTCTTTGGATAATGTACTTAGTGTTTGTTTCAAGGATCCTAAAACAGAATTTCTACGTAATGAAGACAAGCAAATGTACGTGGAACATGCTGAAAGTTCCTTTGAATTACAAGTTGGACTTCATGAACTGATGGGATATGGTTCAGGTAAACTGTTTTGGCGTGATTGTTATGGAAAACGAAATCCCCACACGAAAACTACTGAATATGTCATAAATGGAGGTCCTGTAAAAGGTTGGTGTGAAGCAGGAGGAACGTATGACAGCAAGTTTTCAAACCTTTCATCTGCAATAGACAAGTGTCAAGCTGAGTGCGTTGGAATTTATTTGTCTGATTTACCTCTTGTTCTGGAGCAGTTCGGTCTGAATACCAACTGTGCTCAAGGCAATGCCCCAGATGCAGTCTATATTAATTGGTTGTCAATGATTCCTTCAGTTGTAACTTCCATGGAGTTTTATTCTCCAGCAGAAAATGCTGATGACATTGGATCATGGTGTCAAGCACATCATTGTTCTTATTATGCGATTCTGCGAGTTTTGATTGAAGCTGACGATTTTATGGGACGTACGCATAAAGTAGTCGGTGAGGACAATGCATCTGATTTGTGTATTTCCTTAGTTCCAAAAAGGCCTTTAACTGCGGCTCGTTCAGCAATTGGTGAATTCTTAAGAAAATTACAATATTACAAAGATAAAGCGAATGCTACGTATGGATATGCTTTCTCCCAACACTATAGTCAACTACTTCCAAAATATTTGACTGATTTGCTCTGGCAGTATCTGTGAATGCTTTAGTGTAGGTAAACCAATACTATATGCAGATGACTTAAAAGTGACGTATAAATGCAAGAACACAGATCTTGGAATAACAGTAAACGCCATACAGCAAGAATTAAAAAAATGGATAGATGGTGTGACACCTGGCAACTCCAATTTAATGTCGAAAAATGTGGCTGGCTCTGCATAGGTTGCAACAACTTAGAACTTGACCTGACAATTCAAGGCCATGCACTTCAACGACTGGAATCTGTACTGGACCTAGGGCTGAAATATTCACATAACTTATCATTTTCTGAACACATCTCCAAACAAGTGTCAAAGTCACGCAGACTTATCGGCTTTCTACTCAGGAACTTCTACAGAAATGAGTCTAGAATTCTGTTGTACAAGGTTTGTGTGCGTCCTTTATTCGATTACTGTTCATTCATGTATAGTAGCATACGCATAGAGGACAAATTGAAAGTCGAGGGAGTGCAGAGGTACTTCACGTTAAAATTACTCGGAACCGGAAATGGTACGAACTACTCCACTAGATGTGATACCCTAGGACTAGAAACACTATGGCTAAGACGCCTGAGACTAAACTTGACACTTTACTATAAGCTTCTAAACCACTTAGTTTTTACCTCTACTAATGGCACTCGACTTTCAGATGACAATGGCTACAAACTAAGACACACTAAGGGTACAGTAGCTATCGAACAATGTAAAACAGCCACCAGGCAAAAGTTTTACTTGATTAGGTATGCACAGATATGGAATAAACTGCCAATGGAAATGCGTCAAGCAAGTACATTGGCCTCCTTCAAAAAGGTGCTTAATGACAAACTACAAGAGTTTGCAAACGATATTAGTTCTAGTTCCTATCTGAGAGCCTCCGAAATTATAGGTCCATTTAATGTATAAGCTTAAATACTACACCTGTTGTTTTTTGCCTATATTTATAATTCTAGATAAAACATTAACGGTTAACATACGTATCCTCAAACAGACAAGAAATCTCGTTTGTAAAACTACTACCCAACACAATAAGTGGAATAAAATGGACATAAACCGACAACATGAAAAAGGTATAACTCACCACAACATCACAAGGACAGATGAACGCTCGTTGGGCACCATATATCCGTCACCAACTGCAACCCACCTTTCCTTAGATAATGTGATGAACTTATACCCATAATGTTGCTGAGCAGTTAATATTCTCAACTCCTGTCGGAACAGCTGAAATACATAAACCTTCCTCACGCTAAGAAAATACCCGTAATCAGTAGAAATCCATTAATTAATGCGTCCGAAGCTTATGTACTTACTCCCAACAATGAGATTGCAGATCAAATGAGATAAACACATCACTGATTTCAAAATAACACATCAATGAACTATAATTCGAGGACTCTGCACACAACAAAGTTATGTATGAATATTTACTTCAAGCTTTATTTTTTTCCCAGGCACTTATAATCCATCCACCAAAGACCTGGTTTTTTTGTTAATGCGAAGACAATACTCCTGTATTTCCTGTTGTGTTGCACTCACTGACAATCTAGCAGATTTTTCCAACTTTGCACAGAAATGATTGTATATAAGTGAAAAGGCTGTTTTATACTACTGGAATTAACATTTATCAAGTGTATGTATAATCTCCATCGAACATGTAAAGCATATCTTGCTACTGCCTGTAAATTGTGATTAAATTATATGGTTCTATTTCTGTAACAATTTGATGATGCCTGTAAACTGGCGTCCCTCATGTACTGTACTATGAGAATAAATTTATTTATTTATTTATTTATAAATGGCTACGTGGATATCTTCTGATGCTGCAAACAAGATCTAAGTGGTTGCATATAAAGCACAACCTACAACCTGATGATCTCGTCTTAGTTAACAGTGCTGACACACAGAGAGGTCTCTGGCGAAAGGCTATAGTTAGGCAGATGTACTATGACCAAGATACAGTGGTTAGGACTCTCGCCGACCATCCACATGGTCCGGGGTTCGATCCCCTGCCGGCGCACACCCGATATCTATGGTCGGCCTGAATATGGGCTACCGATATCCATGCTGAAAATTCCATACTTGTACTGAAAATACGGTGTGGAATCAAGCTGTAAATAAAAAAAAAAGATGGCCACGTCAGGACACTGTGTTTGAAAACTTCAACTCAAGAAATGGAACAAGATATAAGAAGCGTACGAAAGGTCAACGTGGTGATCGTTCGCGGGGAGTGTTAATCGCGACAGATAGATAGACTGTATGATAAGCAGCCAATCAATATTATGTGACCTTTTTTGTCGCTATTATTGGCCAATTAATGTAACTCACACCACGTGATGGTGACCTTGAATGTTCTTTTTTGTCTGTCACTCTACTTGTATATACATGTAATTAATTGACCGTTCATTTTGTCCGTACCTTCAATACTGTTCGGTACGTTTTTGTCCGTTTTTTGTAATGACGGTGGATTTTTACATTTTTCTTGGTGTAATTTTATGATTTATTTTATGTTTTAGAACAGATAAAGTTAAAGTCAAGTTATTCTGTTTTAACTATAGCTAAGCCGAGACTCTGTATCGTCAGTATTGAGGAAGGACTAAATCTGTAGGACAAAAGTAATCCTACAGGGCACTCACTCCTGAGCTCTTTCTAAGGTTTCACAAAACATACGTCAGACCACACCTTGAAGTGCATAATATTATTGCACCCCCACTGCTTAGAAGAGATGCCAACCTCTTGGAAAGAGTCCAAAGACGGGTGACAAAAGGAGTGGTTGGTCTCCTAAATAAACAGTCTGATGAAAGGCAAAAGAAAGTAGGCCTATTCACACTTGGCTAGCGTCGGTTCAGGGGGGATTTTATTAGTGCGTGCAAGATAACAAATGATCAGAATCACCCAAACAAGTGTGTTGTGCCATTGAGGAGGTAAAGGCCTTTTCGTGGAAACACCAGAAGGATACCTAACCAGAGGGCAAGGACCCGGGTGCGCTCCCACTTCTTTTCACTCTGAATTTGCCGTCTCTGGAACTCCTTACCAGCAGATGTAGTTATGGCACCGTTTTCGGACACCTTTAAGCGAAGGCTGGACAATCATGCAGCGACACAAGGACTGCATCCAAATGGCCGATTACCTTGAAATCCCATACACCATTCATGGGTAGAGAACTAAATTCGTCGTTTTACTTCTTTACATCCTCTCCTGTCTTACTCTACTGACTCCTCCAAATAATACACTTACACTGACTATAATTGTAATTATTGTTGATATTATATACACACATATACTTATATATATATATATAAGTATGTTCATCTCAACTGTGCGTTGGTGGCACAGTGGTTAGGACTCTCGCCGACCATCCACATGGTCCGGGGTTCGATCCCCTGCCGGCGCACACCCGATATCTATGGTATGCCTGAATTTGGGCAACCGATATCCATGCTGAAAATTACATACTTGTACTGAAAATACGGTGTGGAATAAAGCTGTAAATCAAATCAAATCAATCAACTTCGAATTTAATTAGCTGTCTATTTTTACGTTTTCTTTATTTCTTTCCCTGTCTTTTAGTCTGAATAACCCACACTAATTATATCTGTTATTATTTACATTATTACATCTTTTCTTTTGACGACGATGCTGGAGGACTAACTGGTGAAAGGATCAACTTCATTGACAGTAGTCACAAAGTCTTAACACACCCCATATTAGGAACAACATATAATTAATCCCAGCACTACTCCTTTTGGAGTCAACCAAAGCTACGACAGTCGAGTGGCGGGACGAGCTACGCAGAAGTTCACCGAAGATCAGGAACCTTTACTTCACAACCAAGAAGCGAGCACAAAGAAATCAAATTGGTATATACTAGACCGTAAAAAACGATATTGGATTGTAAACAACTACATGTTACTGAAAGAATGTAATTCAGTAGCTTGGAAAAATGATTTAAAGCTTTATAAACCTGTAAAGAGCCTTTACTGGACCTGAAAGTAAAACTTAGAAACTTCCTACAATTTCGTTTTAACGCTTCAGCTTATTCAGTCACTCAAGGTTATAGTGTGCGGTTGAAGTTAAGGTGTTTGTGGATTATTCGAATTAATGATTTTTTTTAACTTAGTCAGTCACGCTCATGCACTATAAACTAGAGCTTATCACTGTATTTAAGTCAGCTGTACAGACGTATCTGAAAAATGCTTCTTTTTGCTTCGTCTTTTGTAGAATTTCGCTCTGTGAACATTCACCTGAAATAAATTTCAGTAAATTTATTGGACATTCCCACATGAATTTTGGGCGATCGTTGGATAAGTGGATTATACTAGCAAATACGGTCAAAAGAGTGTAGCAGGAATTTTTCGGGCATTTTAGAGACTTTGTAAACGCCAATGGCACAGTCCCTACCACCTTGCTACGAAATCTTACAGGCTTCAGTGCTGCATAATAATCACAAAAGGTTTGATATTCATATTTGATTAACGCAGCTGTCAGACTAGCGGTATACATACTCTTGCTCACTTATTTTTGCTACACATGCTATCATGCTTCACGCAAACCTCTGAGCATTGTCAAGTCTGTTTTGCACGGTTCCGAAAAGCATGTTGATCTGCCCAATACAGCTAAAATTTCCACGGGTTGGGAACCATTCAGTATGTTTTTCCTTCTTATGTAAACTATTTTAGATTCTGACAATTGGAGTCAACTATTGGGAGGACTTGAGTACATTTATTTGTTCACTTATGCAGCTTCAATGGTTTTGAAGTAATTGGATTATGTATTTAACTATCTTCTAGTGGCTTTCTTGCAGAAAGAGTCAGTTTGCGGTACTTCTTGTCCTTCGGAATGTTTCTTAGTGGACTTTCTACAGTTGCATTCGGCCTTGCTTCTTACTTCGAAATCCACCATTACTCATACTTCGTCTTTGTGCAAGTAATTACAATTAATTATTAATTCTCAGGTGTTCTCCGGGCTCGTTCAGGCTTCTGGATGGCCAGCTGTTGTTACTTTGGTGGGAAATTGGTGGGGGAAAAGTAGGTATGTTAAAACGATATTGTCACTTGGTAATGCATTGTTTCATATTTTCTATTTGTCCGTATTGAATATAAGAATTTTCGAATCACCATAGTTCATTTTATTATTGGTGATTGAGCTATCACCTTAAGTAGTACAGTGGATTTGGTTGTTAAAATAAGTTTACTGTTGGTTTCTTACAGGTTAGCTTATTTTATCTGATCGGGATAATTAGCTGATTGTCGATATCATCTGTTAATCATAAATGCATTGAAGAAAATAGTTTTCCTTTGTCTTCGAAATCATATTCAGAGGCTGTGCAGTCGTATTTATATCACATAAAAGCGTATAGTGGTCTATTATTAAATAATAATGGATGACAACTGATATAATTACTCTGAAGTTGATGGTGGCAAGGCGGTTAGGACCCTCGCCGACCATGTACATGGTCCGGGGATCGATCCGCGGTCGACGCACACCTGATATCAGTATCGGCCTACTAAATTTGGTCTACCGATATTACATGCTGAAAATTCCATATTTGTATCAAAAATACTGTGTGGCGTCAAGCTATAATAAAAAAATAAAAATAAACTAATAGTCAACAACACAATAGAAGTAAAGGTTTGAAATTTGATAAGGTGAAAATTATTATTCAGTGAAAAATAAGGTGGTTGAATGTCCACTTAGGAAGTTGAAAATGGCGAGAGGAAGAAAAAAACAACAGATTGTTTAAAAGGAATATGTCAGAGTAATATTAGTGAATCACTGTAAATTGAATTGAAAGAGGATTAACACCATGACAGAATGAGAAACTTAACAAACCGTTTCTATACACACGGTTAATCGCTAGTACCTCTGCCATACACAAATACCGAAGTGTAACACCCCTTGTACTATCCAGTTTATTTTAATTTTAAAAGACGACTTTTTTGAGGCTTCATGGCCTGATAATTGAGGTAATAATTGTCTTTCAATGGCCTTTTTGATAAACATACCGGATAATATTCAGAAATGCATCTGGGAAGTGTGCGTAAACGTATTGTTATAACAGTCATACCTATGTACTTGAGTCAATTAATTTCGATGATTGTTAAGAAGAAAAGGTAAGTATGTTGAGGAGGTTGTGAATAGTTGTCAGTCAGAGTACGTAGGTCAAGTACCACACTTCTTGAACCTAATCGTGCATGTTAAAAGATGGTGGTTGGAAACTGTTCTCTCTTTACCCAGTGGCACTCTTTGCTATCCATATATGCCAACATTACCAGTCGACATTTTGATTATTGTCCTTCATTTTAAACTTGTTTTTCCACTGTAGTATCGCTTGTATATCTGTTCTCAATGTATGTATTTTTCTAAATGTGACAACTTAAACCGAGAGTTATATTCAGGGTTTTACATTGATTAGTCTACGCATCATTTTAAACTCCTGGCTTCTGGTTTTAAGCATTGTTTCGCCTGCTACATTTTGAAAATTTGGTCAGTACTGTTAGCTGTAACGCCAAGTATGATTCAGTCCAGTATACTATAAGCATCCAGCTTCCTTATGGGGCTATAATCCTCAGTGAATTCCAACTACTTCACATTGACTAACTGAGTTTTATTGTAAACCCACTTACTATATGTGGATCGTAGTCAAGTAGGTAAATTTACATCAGACTGTTGAATTACATAAATTAAACATCTTATTATCAAGTACTGGTTTTGTAGGGATCTTTTTTGTTTGATTGGTTGGAGGATTTCATCATGAACTGACATCAGTTAGAAAACCATTTGAAAGCCTGCAGGGGGTACTGGACAGCTGTTTTCGTCCTAGTTTGGGACTCTTCACAGTACGCACCCACCGGGGTCCGATGGGTGATGATGATGAAATCCTCCAACCAATCAAACAGAAATCCCTACAAAACCAATACTTGAAAAATCATCCGAGGTAATTACCTGGGGTTCTAGTGGGAAACCGTAACCAGCAGGGTAGAGCAGGTTGAAGATGAGGCAGTAACTCACAGAAGAAGACATTGTAAAGTGGTCGCACTATATCATGAATTGGCAGAATTTAGAATTCATGGGCCATCGCATTGGGTCCCAGTGGCTTAATGGTCTACGAGCTCACCTTGTAATCTAAGGGTCCTGGGTCCGAACCGTGGTGGGTGGGTGCGTACTGTCGAGGAGTCCCAGACTAGGAGGGATGAGACAGCTGTCCAGTACTTCCAAGTTTCCCAATGGTTCTCTAACTGATGTCAGCTTATGATGAAATCCTCCAACCAATTAAACATCTTATTCTTCCATAATTCTTTACTTCATATTTAATACGTTTTCTAGTTTTCAATGTCTGATAATTTTTATGTTCCTATAGCTCTTCAATGCTTGGTTTCTTTCTTGCAGTAATGTCTATTTAGTGTACCAGCTTGATCCTTTAAATAATTATTCTCCGGCTAATATTATCATCCACGTCCGTGTTTGACCTGTTATATTCCGGTTCCTAGAGTTCTGTCGAAGTTAAATTTGTGAAAAGATTTAGATTAGTTTTAATATGCAATCAGGTTTCGATTTATGAAAGAATTGTAGGCTTTGGTTAGTATGATTGTAATATATGTGCTCATTTTATGTTATTAACACAAGTTGCTTATTGTGTTCACCTTTTCTTTTCTTTTACAGACGTGGACTTATTATGGGTTTATGGAATTCTCATACAAGTTTAGGAAATATTTTGGGATCTGTTATTGCAGGAGTTTATGCTGATTCAAATTGGGGAGCTTCTTTCTACATACCTGGAATTATCATGATGTTTGGTTCAGTGTTTGTCTATCTAACATTGATAGAACATCCTAATATGATTGTTTTTAATCCTCTTGATTCCAACCGAGAAACTACAAAGATCGGGTTGTTACGAAACATATCTGAGGTAATTAATTTACTTGTGTACAGTATTTGCATAGTAATAATGGATATAATCTTGAAAAAGATCTGATTCTATTCCGACAATTACATTAGATTCAATTTTGATCACGGATTGATGTCAGTTAAAGAACACTTGTAAACCAGTGATTACTGCGCAGCTGTTTTGGCCTAGTCTGAGACTCATCATCAGTACGCACCCACGATCTTACCGGGGGGACCCAGGATCCTCATGTTACGAGACTAATCTCGGTGATCATTTAACCACTTGATAATTATATTAACATGTCTCCTCTATTCTCTTTTCAACATCAATGAGAATCAGAGGAGTATTATTTCATGTATTAGTATTCTGTTCCGTTTGATTACAGCTCATCATTGAAGTTAACGTATGTAGAGTAGTTACTGTGGATGAAATTACTGACTTATCACTGACTGACTGGTTTCAGCGTAGGAATTTTCACAGATGTGCAGCAGTTCGAGTCACCACACTTCACTTAGTACACAAAGCAAGAGAAGAAAGCAAAAATAAATGCAAAACAGAGACAGTAAACAGAGATATGAGGCCAAAAGAATAGTAATATGAAGGAACTATATAGTTTTATTGGATAAGTCACAAGGAATGGATGCATCTGCGCCAGCCATTGAGAATGATTTTGAGCCATATCATCAATTTTCTCCAGCCTTCATTGGTTTTTACCGTCCCAAGGACCCTAACCAGTCAGGAAGTCTACACCTTCCTACGTGACTTAAACTGACTCATCAAGTTGGAAAACTTTTAATTATTCTGGGTGACTTAGAATTGTGAACAACTGTAATGATAATTGAATTCAGATATCCGATTAAATGATGAATACGGTTATCGGATTAGTCACTTATTCAATCAATGCATATCGAAGGAAAAGCTTTGAGCAACATGATATAAATTGGTATTCCAACATGATAAGACACCACATTCTAAAGAATATTCTTTAAATTAATTGTCAGAATTTAATTTCAGTGAGATTAGCTGAAAGCAGTTGAAGAGTTTGTAGGTTCATCAGGATTGGTTTCGTCATAAATCAAAATCAATGGAGGGGGGACCTTAAAAATTCGAGGGATACTTGATAGTCGTTTCGACTTGATGTGTGACTTTTCAGCAGCATCACTAACTTATCTAGCATAAAATATTTTCTGAAATATAAGACTTATTAGAAGGAATATTTTTGGAAATGGTACTTTCAAAGTGTCAAACTAGTGTAAGGTGTTGCTAACGTACATTACTAAAATGAAAGATAAGTTACTTTTGTTTTCAGGTAGGCAAAATGTATGAAATTGAGTCACTTGAAGGTAGCATTAGCTGTATCTGCAGACACAGATTTTTGATACGTGTTTTAAAATTTTTTGCTTTACTGATAACTGTCAACTTCAGAGAGCAGCTAGAGTTTTTATATGAGGCTCCTAGTTACACCTAGTTTCAAATATCTTCCTGTCTGTCAGATAGTATCTCAAACTGCGTACACCGAGTATAGCTGATAGTGCAGTGTACCTTAGTATAACATACCAAACGTACCATGCTGTATTAAATTAAACAGCATGTGGGACCAGTATTATTACTAATATTATTAAACACATTCTTGGCACGTTTATGGGCACTAAGAGATACATCACACAAAACCTCATGGTTTGTGCCACGGTTAAAGTGCTGGGCGGATGGAACTAAGTGGCTGTTTTAGGCTGACACCCTCTCGAGCCTTTGACTCAAAGTCTAATCCCATGGATTCCGGTGACAACAATAGGTTCATACGCCATTTTATCCTTTCGGATTGGGGAGCCCACGTACTACACCATAGGTTTTTGAATCGGGGCTTTACAACTTCTCAAGGTAGACCCTGCATGTTCAACAGTCCGGTTGCAGGTGTCAGACGTTTGCATTCTCCGTAGAGTGAAGGCAGTCAACGGGAATTAACTGGCATAGAGAGGCTATGGACGCCTAGCCACATTAGAGCGTTTCTACAGGAAGACCGAAATCTACCCACCTTCGACCATTCCAAGTCGTTTATGGCGTCTTAGGTTAGTATACAGTTGACGTAATTAATCGATATGTTTAACGTCTCTGTCAGAAAAAGTCACTTATTCTGTATGATTTTATATTTTATTTGTGTTTCAAAAATACCATCTAAAGTGTGTTTCTTTACTGTGTGGTATTGATTAGTCAGTGAAAAGAATTTCATTTCACTGTTGTATGCTTCAAAGCATCGTTCATGTGCTCTATCTCCTGCGTTAAGTGGTATAATAAGTTGAGAAATATTGAGGTTAGCCATCGGTCGAGTGCTAGGTAAGGAGGAGCGGAAGTCAATCGACGAGGTTGTGCAGTTACATCGATTGAGATGGTTAGGACATGTGTTAATCATGATTAGCCATTGCCTTCCTCGACCGACGGGGAATGTTAGCTGACATAGGAAGGATCAGGTTGGAAAAGAATTGGCTAGTGATGATCAAACCAAAACGTGGTTTCATCAGTCAATGGAATCCACAACAGTTAGTTTAAACCAGCCAGTCACGCAGAGAGGTGTGGACTGCTGTCTGATCGGGTTCTTCGGGATGGTAAGAACCAAATGAAGGCTGGAGACAGTTTATGATATGGCTTAAAATCGTTCTCAATGGCTGGTCCAGACGCATTCATCACTCTTTGGGGTTTATAATGTCCAATAAAATTCTTTTGTTCTTTCATACTACTCTCCTTTTTGCCTCACACTTCTGTTGATTATCTCTCACTCTTTGAATGTCTTAACTCTCTATAGTTGGTTTGTAAGGGTTAGTTTTGTTTTTACGAGTTGATCACGGGTTGATATCAGTTAGAGTTATCAACTGCCTATGATTCCCAAACTAGGATGAAACAGCCGTCCAGTACTCCCTGGTTTTCAATGGTTGTCTAACTGATATCAACCCCCTTGGATCAACTCGTAAAATGTCTTAACTCTCTTGAGAGAGTTGTAACAACTCAAACTGCCACACATCTTTTCAAATTTCTACGTTGAAACCAGTGGGTTAGTCAGACAGTTCATTAAATTCTGTTTTAAGTTAAGATAAGTATAACTTTCTATTAGTGCAAAAAAAATACAAACAACGTCAGATCACATTCACCACACTTTTATAGGACATTTCGTATTTTTGAACTAAATAACATACACACATTGTAAATTTTAATCTGGTGAACTTAGATATTTTCAGTCGTTCGATGTTTGTTATACGTGATATGAATTGTGATTTAACTGTGCTTAGCTTGATATAGACTAAATCTTAGTTCTTGAAGTAAATCTATATATTGTTAAGTCTATTCATCATTGGTTCCTTTTTTTTCTCGTCAGTCAAATCTCAACCGGCAAATATCAAACAAAGATGATCTAAAACCTTTAATATCTAATTCTGAAGCCAGTCGACCAATTTCCTTTATTGAAGCTATTCTTTTACCAGTAAGTTTATTTTACAAGAAATATTTATTTTTTGTATTTTTGAGGTTAACTAACTAACTTTCTTTCAATATAAGTAATTCATATATATATATGCATATATAGTGAAAAAATTTTCCACGTCAACACTATAAAACCACATGGTGTGGTGTAGCTAGCTAGTGAGTGGTGTTACCTTTTGACGTTAAAAGTTTAAAATTAAAAAAAAGAATTTAAGAGGAGTTGGCCGCCAAGCACCAGTAAGTACCAATGGAGTGCGACGCATCAATAACCTTAAAACTCTCGCTGAACAAGTAACTGAAACCTTGTAAATAATATTTTAATCATGAATAAAAATATGCTTACTTGAGTGTTGTGATATTAAACGGGATATCTGGTAAGTTTCAGGTTATGTTTGGGAAAGATTAAGTTAAGGTTTAGGCTAAGGACAGGTTAATATATGTGTAAAACTTGGGCACTGTGGTAGTAAGTAATTCCATATTAGTGTGTTTATTAGATATATCACACAGTGAAACAGTATTATTATTTACTGGATGACGTTTCGACCAAAATTTATTGTACATAATCATTTCATCAATTCTAATCACACGACTTTGAAACTTGAGTTTTATAGTTTTCTTTGTCCTCTCCTATTTGTCGTAGGGGTAGTAGAATTTTCCAGATATCTGGGACAGGTGTTGAATCATTCCTATTACATATATTTGTAGTCTATTCGATAAACAAAGCTTCTGTTATCAATCTCTCCCTCCACCCTGTGACATTAGATTTTAAAACTGTCATCCTATCCCATTATATTGTGTGGTTGTGTGTAACTGCATGTAGTGCTATAGCTGAACTATTCTCAAGATTTCTTGTCTTATTATGGTCAACCAATCTAGATTTTGCTAGGTTTTTATGTTCAGCTTGTCTGACTGCCCCTGTTCTACTAGTTTGGCCTATGTATTTGACCTGACAATCATTGCAGCAGGGTACTAGATAAACTAAATTGTTTTGTTTTGAAGGCTCCACAGGATCCTTTAACTGACAAAGCTTGTTTCTAATTGAGTTCGTGGGTGGTTTGAATGCCACTTTTATTTCTGCCTTGTTAAGGACAGGTTAACATGACATTAGGGTTAGTTTAGGGATAGTTTCATGTCAGAGTTAGGTTAAGAAAAGGTTAGGGTTATTGTTAGGGTTAGAAAACCTAAATAATTACATGCTTAGAATGTGACGTAATTACTCTGTCGATACTCCAATTCGGAACTGAGAGGTATTTTTGTCACACGTTAGAGAAATGTATTTATTTATTCCTTCTCGTTCCCCAATGGAACATAGGGCTTCAAGCTAGAGGCTTGAAGTTTCTGCAGCAGTGTTAATTTTTACAGGATGGAGTTGCTAGTCTCATGTCCAACCTTTCCTCTTTACCAGCTTTTATTACTGGTTTAGCTAGGTTAAGCAGTGCGTCCGTGGCCGGGGATAGATCCCCCGACCATGTGTATGCTCGGCGAGCGTCTTAACCGCTGTGCCACCGACGCACAGAGTAATGTATCCTGTGTAACAATCTTGTGCCTTGTAATTCTTTATTATTTCATGAGTATGTGTGTATTTTATACGCAAAAGTCGCATTTATCATGTAGTTGGTGAGTTCAAGATCATTTGTCCGTTGGTACTTACTTGTGCTTAAATTTTAACTTCTTTGAGTTGGTGAGTAGTCTCACTGCTATTTCTTCTTTTATTGTGGGATTTTCTGAGCTGCTTAGTGAATTTTAATGCGATAGTTATTTAGCACCAGTGTTTTCTTTTGTCCGTTTCGTTTCATCATTGAGGCATTTTGACGTACTAGGTAAAATTTTCTTTTGTTTGGGTATGCACTTAAACAAATCTACGAGCAATAAACTTTGCTCGAAAAGTCATCAGTAAATATTACTGTTTAACACATAGAGACTTCATCAAAATAAATTTTACCCAACGGTATCTTATAAACACTGGTGCACAATTTTCCTTCTTTTGTTCATTTTATTTTATAATATTTAACATATCTGTCTCGGGATTTCATTATGAACTGACATTGGTTAGAGGACTATTAAAAAACCTGGGAGTACTGGACAGCTGTTTCGTCCCAATTTTGGACTCTTCACAGTACTCACCCATTGCAGTTCTAACCTAAGACCTTCTGGTAGAAATCCTTAAGTCAATCAAATCCCTGCAAACCAACACACTTGAATATCTGTTTCGCCTTGTTCATTTTTTTAACTCAAGCGCAAATCTTATTACCTCTACTATTGGGTTTATGTGTGTGTTGGTCTGTGTGTATGGAAATTACAAATGTGTTTTTTCTCTAACACGATGAAAGTGTCGCCCACATATCTCTACCATAACTTTGGGATAGGATTAAATGTTTTAAGCAACATATTTTCCAAGCAATTCATAAAAATATTGTCTACAATTAAGGATATTGATGATCCTAGTACACTGCCTCTTCTGTTTGCCTAAATATTTTACCCTGGAATTTAAAGACAGTAGACGTTGAGATATCAATAGATTCTTAGAATAGCCTCCTCAATGAGAGTGACTTTGTCGTATGAGTTAGTTTTGCGATGAAGAGATTATTTTTAACTGCCTGTAGAGCCAATATCAATCGGTGTATTAGTAATAAAGACTAGTGTTATTATCAAAGGTAATCAATTCTTTTTCACGTCATTTTCATTTGAGTATCGCTTCTTTTTATTTTCATATGAGAATAGGTTAGTTTGGAGTTTGAACGATGAGATAATATTGACGTTAAATGTTTGGATATAAGTCATAAGTAGGAGTATTTTTCAAATTAACTATTAGTCTTAAAGAATAACCTGTTCTAGTTATGTTAATGGTTTACCCTAGGTTTTTGATTGGACGATAGTTAGTAACTAGTATTATGTGTATGTATTCAGTCCTTAGTTTGATGCAGACTGAATTCTATCAGTCAAGCTTGCAATGTGGCCGCCTTTATAGGTGGTTCGCCATCCACGGCACACATTGATTTGATGATATTAGATGGTTGGAGGCAATCGGCCGCAGAAAGCCTTACCTGACCTAGGTTTCGTGCTAGTTGGCACTCACCAGTCAGCAAAGCATATCTGCAACCTTGAAGGAACTCATGTCCCTTCTGAGATTCGAACCCACGTCAGTCAGTGAGTGCTGCAGTTGGAGACTTTACCACTGAACTATTCCGACTCGCGATTGACTTCCTGTAGGACTGTATTGGATATTTTATTGATTGGACACTAGTCAGTAACTAGTGTGATGTGTCTAATCCTTAGTTTGGTGCAGACTGAACTCGATCAGTCAAGTTTGCAATGTGACCATCATGCTCAGAAGGGATATGAGTTCCTTCAAGGTTGTCGATACGCCTTGCTGGTCGATGAGTGCCAGTTAGCACGAGACCTAGGTTGAAGGCTTCCTACCAATTGCCTCCAACCATTTAATATTAGTATCCTATATTCTACTTGCGTTATTAGTTTTAGAGATTAAATTAAACCATTTATAAAGTTATATAATGATAGCTTCATTCAACGAAACAAATCATCTGTAGATTTCTTAATATCATTCATTACTGAATCTAGGAGCTTCTTAATCTCTTCGCATGGACTCCTTTTTATGTGTTCATTGACTTTCTTGATGTAGCCCGATGTATTTGTAGCTACTGTCAATTTATCCTTATCAACTTTCACAATAATGCTAATGTATATTGTGGTCGGACGATTATCATTATATTCAACAGATTAGACAACAGCTGAAAAGTACCGAGTGCAATATGCATCTTCATTAAAAATTTTAAAAAAAGTGAGGAAAATCCTAACAAGCTCGCCTTGTAACCAGAAGGTCCTGGGTTCGAACCCCTGTGGTGGGTGCGTACTGCTGAAGAGTCCCAAACTAGGCTGACGAAACAGCTGTCCAGTACTCCCAGCTGGTTTTCCAATGGTTCTCCAACCAATGTCAGTTCATGATGAAATCCTGTAACCAATCAACCGAGTCCCTACAAACCAATACTTGAAAATTAGAAACACTCACTGTGATAAACTTCAAAACAATAATAAAAGCATACTGCCCAACCAAGTCAGCGAAATTTCCAAGAAGAATATCAGAAAGCTTTAATAGTAGAAAGGAATAGATAGAATAAACATTTATACTGCATAGCTATCCCGTAAAATTCATTTAGAAGTTCATAAAATGTCACAATAAAAGAAGAAACAATAAGTGGAACTATTTAACCTATAACATAACTAAGGAATTTAAGGGGATTGTGACAGTGTTTCCATATAAAGAAAAGCCATCAGAAATCCCGCGTAAGATTGTTAATAAAGTAAGAATTTCATGTTGGCATACAAACATAATAAATCACTCAGGGATAAACTCAATAAGATAAAGGACGTTATTGATCCGATCACACAAAATTATTTTAAATATAACAAAAATATTCATTCAGACATTTAGGAGGAAAAATAAATTGAGTAAAGAATATCCTTTTCGATAATTTCGTCTTCTTGCTCTGAACAACCTTATCAGAAAGTTCTCATTTTATTGCCGATATATGGATGACACCTTTATTCTTTGTGATAATGCTTCCGATAGGACTACAATAATTACTGAATTCAATGAAGTACATCCGGCTATGAAATTCACATGCGAGGAGGAATCCCAAGACAGAATTGCCTTCCTCGATGTCCTACTTACAAGAAAACCAGACGGAAGCATAAAAAGAAATTTACATAGAAAAAGTACTTGGACGGGACAATATACACACTTTCATAGCTTCGTTCCCATCAAATACAAAAGGAATTTGGTGAAGACCCTTAGCCACAGAGTTAGAGCTATATGCTCTGAGGAAGTAATTAAAGATGAATTAGACATTGTATATGATACTTTAATTGAAAATGGTTATCCTGACAAGTTTATCAAGAAACATATGACGAAGAAGGCCGAAAAGGACGACCCACTATCTGTAAAGAAGAAGCCCCTTTATATACGACTACAATTCAAGGGCGATAAACCAAGTGAGTTAATTACAAAGAAATTAAGAAAAGCAGTTCAAAGGACTTTTAATGCTGGCGAACTACACATCTTATTCTCTACAAGACCGATGGTGCTACCTCGACTGAAAGATGAAGTACCTAGACTGGCCACTTCAAATTGTATTTATCAATTCAACTGCGCTTTAGGAGCGAGTTATGTTGGCCGTTGCTCTAGGAACTTGATTTTTCGTGCTCGAGAACATATCCCACTATGGCTAAGCAAAGGTGTAGTTAAAAGTATTAACAGCTCGATATTAGACCATCTGGTGCAAACCGGTCACAAAGCCAGCGTAGACGAATCCTTCTCCATAATATACCGGGTGCCCAACAAACTACCAAAATCCTCGAAGCACCGCTTACTCCAAACAGCAGAGGCTATTGCAATTCGCCTCAAACAACCAGCGCTCTGTGTCCAAAAGAAACAAGTCCAGCCCCTACTACTGCCCTGGCCCTCAGTAGAGACTATAAACTCATGAATTTGTACCATTATCTTTCCTAATTCTTCTGACATTCAGTTTATTTAATGTTGATGCTGTTCAGCTGTAATTTATCAATATTATTGATTTGATGTTATTTAAACATTAATGTCGTTCATAAGACTAATTCATTCATTCATTATAATGTATATATAATTGTAGAACCTGATGATGAATTTATCGAAAAGAGTTCTCTTTGTTCAGTGTCTATTCTTTTGAAAACATAGAATATTCTAGAATAATCGTCATTAGTTAAATTGATGTTTTTTTTATATACTATCGATCTGTTAAACAAGATCGATGAAATTACAGATCATGAAAGATGCATAAACTACAATAAGCATAAAAATGTAATAGCATATAGATTATCAAAAATAAAACTTAGGGGATTTCTACAGTGAATCGAGGATCATTAAAACCTTGATGGCCAATGGAAGGACAATGTCTGAACCAACGTTTTTTGGATACATAAGTCAGGCCTCTTAATGTGGATCCCAACGGCCTCAGCAATATGTAGTAGACGAACTCTTAAGGTAAAGTTAAGATTAGTTAGTATGCGGTAGATGACTTTGTGAAAGCCACCTCGTTAATATCAATCTTGTGTGTATGTGTATCCACAAAATGAGATGGAATAAAGCTATGAATGGATTTTGTTTGTCTTTTACTTAATCACTCAGGATGATGTTCGGAAATCCGACGAGAAACACGTCTAATTGTACGGCCTATGTAACTGGCTCCACGGAGCAGTTAAATTGGTAGATACACATGGAAGAGGCGAAATTAGGCAGTTTGTCTTTTATTCTCGAACGCAAAAGAGAAGTGGTTTTGAAGACACAGCGTAATTCAACAGCAGGGAGTACCCTTTTTATCGCATTTCTAAGGCGTTGTGTTAGTATCTCACTGATGTTATCCCCGAAGAATTGAAGTTGTAAGAATAAGGCCTTTTTCGGAACTGTTGCTACTTTGGCCAGCCTTGACTTTTGATTGCTATTCTTATCGATGAGTTTTTCTGGATAACCGTTCTCACTCAGCAACTATTTAATAGCATTAGGCTCTTCATTAAGACATTCATCAGAGTATATTGCTCTTACTCTGTGGACCAAGCATTTTATAAGATTGCGTTTGTATTTCAAAGGCACAAAACTGAAAAAATGAGTATACTCACCAGCTGATGTAGGTTTTCTACATACACTTCTTATTGTACCGTTCTCTTTTCTAGTCATAGGAACGTCTAGGAATGAGATACTAGAGTCTCTTTCTTTCTCAATGGTAAAATGTATTGCACGATAAACATCGTTAAATTTTTCCAGGATAGTCTTTGCCTCATCCTCATTTTTTATAATCAAAAATATATCATCCATGGAGTGACTGTAAGCTCAGCTACTCAGGTCAGTCCAATATATTAGGTTGAGTTGGGCTAGTTATAGAATGATTGACTCTCAAAAGATGGCTAACTTAAAGGAGAACTCACAATGCACACATTATAGCACACACAATCACACTATAGGATTGGGCAGAACTACAATTCTAAAAGGTAATACGGTTATGTGGAAGGAGAGGTTGATCACTGAATATTGCAATAAGAATGAAGCAATACCAATACTATAGATGTGGGAAATATTATTACCAATAAAACCAAAGAGTATAAAATAATGGAACTGTATAAACAAAATCTGAGAGTTATCTTAGTACCATGATAAGGTTATGAGCAGTACATTGTCCTCAAGATGTCATCAGTAAATCAATAATACTGTATCACTGTGTGCTTTTATCAAATTAAAGTATCTTATAGCGTTCATTCGGTAGTGTAACAGTTATGGGTTCAACCTCGCATGAGGATAATAGATTTGTGCTTCTTTCGAATCAGTTAGTTTCCGAATGAACTTGAAGTTCAAATGTTCGTTAGCAGGGATTTGATTGGTTACAGGATTTCATCATGAGCTGACATTGGTTAGAGAAGCATTGGAAAACCTGGGAGTACTGGACAGCTGTTCCGTTCTAGTTTGGGACTCTTTAGCAGTACGCACCCACCGGGGTTAGAACCCAGGACCTTCTGGTTACAAAGCGAGCTCGTAGGTAGTTACCTGGGGTTCTTGTGAGAAGTCGTGGCCATTAGGGCGCAGCGGGTCGGGTGTGAAGACAAATATTCGCCGAAGACATTGCGAAGTGGTCGCGCTATGTCGTGAATTGGCAGAAGTTAGAATTCATGGGCTGGTCATTGAATTGGGTCTCAGTGGCTTAATGGTCTACGAGCTCGCCTTGTAACCGGAAGGTCCTGGGTTTGAACCCCGGTGGGTGCGTACTGATGAAGAGTCCCAAACTAGGACGAAACAGCTGTCTAGTACTCCCAGGTTTTCTAATGGTTCTCTAACCAATGTCAGCTCATGTTGAACTTGAAGTGTCGTATTGTAACAGCAGAAGGCATGACACGGAAGTCAAGATATATTTTCAACTGATGAAACAGCTATTTGTATCTATACAGTTCATATTCTCTAATCAATCACTTAGCGTGGGCTTTTAGTTTACATTAAACGACATGAAATAGAATGTTCAAATACATATATACTATTCTGTTAGCTAATGCAGTATTGGACTGTGGGAATATGTGAAAATAATATTCCGGGGGAACACATTGTCTGTATCACACCATCAAAGTATTACTAAGGTACAGACGTTCACTGGTGTATAACAGAATTAAACGTCTCGGTATTGCCTTCATCATTACCTTGAAGCAGATTTGTATGCAAGAGGAATATTCCACTTTTTCGGTGACATAATTTGTTGAAATTGTTGTACAATCCGAATATTATATACATGAAGAAGGTCGACAGCTAGTTATTAAGAAGTGTACATTTCTAATTGGAAAAGATTCCAAGTTGTTATGTGGAGAAGCAACACAATGGGATAAAAAGTGAAAGCAAAGAGGACAAAGTGGGTTTTTTTTGGCTGACTGAAAGAAAAACACCAGTATATCATAAATACTTCTTTTTGAACACATAAATTGGGTTTCTGGCGTCGGATAGAGATTGCTTCGTTAAACCTAAGGAGAATTGAGCTATTTTGTCTATTGATAATTTTGAGGGATTTTTCAATGTCCACATTATGGTCCGTATCAAGGAGATGCCTGGCAGTGGCAATATTGAAAGCGTTTGTCCCCTTGAGGCGTAGACGTTTTGCAACATGTTCAGAAAATCGAGGGTGTTTCCTTTTTTCTCTTCTCCTAATGTAACTGCTCCCACAAATACATATAAATTTGTATATACAGTTAGAGTTAACATGAGAAGGATACTTGTCGTCTTTTTATTGCACCAAAGATCATGTTGTTCGACAGACGGGGACCAGCTTAGCTGCAGGATAGGCTCTGGATAGTGATATCCTCAATCTTCTGTTGACAATCGCTGTATTATTATCACCTTTAAAATCAAGTTGAATGAAGATAAGCTTCTTTTCTTACTGTGATTTGTTTGAAATTTGAGCCTTCGCATATTCCGTACTTGTTAATGAATTTCTCATAGTAACGGTTGTTTTTCAACATCTTTTTGAAAATCAGAGACTCTTCATCTAATTTCTCTGCAGAGCATATTCTCCTGGCTGTATAAAATAGAGTTTTGACCAGTGTTCATTTATAGCTATTTGGACAAAAACTATTCCAATGTGAGTATTATCCATTCCATGTAAACTTTCAGTGAATTGATCTCTGGAGACTGTATGGCAGTGTCGCGGGAATGAAAATTTTCATCATCATTTTCATGTTTCATAGTTTATTCAATATTTGTATGGGCGTCGTTGAATAATCCGCCCACTACAAATGTGTCATCGGCATTTCGACAGTACGAAGTTGTTTCATCGATTGCATGCTTCAACTTTGTTTTCTCAAGGTGGTTGGACATGAAGATATCTGCTAAAACAGGGCTAATTGAACTGCTCATATAGCTACACTATCTATTTGGAGGTAAAGAGTGTTGTCAAACTAGAGTTGTATATCCATGGTACAGATTAGCAGTAGGCGTTTGAATTCGGACACTCGGAGTGGTGAAGTTGGGGTGGGGTGGATAATATCAAACTGCTGACAAATGTTCTCAATAGTTTCATTGATTGTGCTTTTCTTGCTTTATTCACATTTCATAAAGGGGAATAAATGTCTGTGAGGCAATGAAATAACTGTTTATCATTGTCAATTTATTGACTTTTCTTTTGCCAAAAACTCTTATTTTATTTTACAGAATGTATTTACCTATTCAGTTCTACTGTTCTTTGCAAAACTTGTATCTTATACATTTCTATATTGGCTACCAAATTATTTGACTATTGTTGAACATGTATCAGCTGGTGAGGCTGCCCAGCTTTCTGTACTATTCGATATTGGTGGAATATTTGGCGGTATGCTGATAGGATGGCTTAGTGATTCTCAGGTAAGTTGTAATTTTTTTATATTTTTTTTATACTTAGTAGGTTTTCTTCATGAAATTAGAATTATTTACTTCTTAAAATTGGTCTCTCTAAATATGATTTTAAAACTAGCGTAGTAAGAAGTGGTAACCAGTGGGGTACACCAAGTCAGGTAAGAGAACAGCTACTATTAGATGGTTCGAGGCAATCGGCAGGAGGTCTTACACCTAGGTTTCGTGCTAGTTGGCACTCACCAGTCAGCAAGGTGTATCTGCAACCCTGAAGGGATTCATGTCCTCCTTGATGAGATTTGAACCGGCGTCACCCAGTTCTTTAGTCACGGACGTTACCACTGAGCTATTTGGACTCGCGATTAACTTCCTGTAGGACTGTATTGGATATTTTTTTCATTGGACACTAGCCAGTAACTTGTGTCATGTGTCTAGTCCTTTGTTTACTGCAGACTGAATTGTATCAGTCAAATTTGCAATGTGGCCACCATGCTAGGCGGCTTGCCATCAAGGTGCACTATGAATTGTCGGTATTAGATGGTTGACTGGTAGAATTCAGTCTGCAGCCAAGATAGGACTAAAAACATTTCCCCAGTTACTGACTAGTGTTCAATCAAAAGAGAACAGTTAGTTACACGCTTATGACACATTGGCTGGCGATCGCGCTATATGTGTAACAACAGAAGACAAGGGCCAGGCAACAGATCATTTATTAAGGAAATCAACGCATATTTATATATGTTTTCATGTACATTACTATGGATATGTAAACAAACAAACACAGTCTTCCGATTGGTTGTTTCTCACGACAAATCTTGGGAACGTAAATATTGACGTAAATTACTGTCTACCAATTTGGCTAGTAGACAGCTCTCACCACATATGTATCATGAATTGACAGAAGTTAGAATCCATGAACCATTGGATCGGATCTCAGTGGCTGGATGATCTACGAGCTCATCTTATAACCAGAATGTGCTTGGTTCGAACCCTGGTGGGTGCATACCACTGAAGAGTCCCAAACATAGACGAAACAACTGTTCATTAGTACTCGCTGGTTTTCCAGTGGTTCTCTAAATAATGTTAGCTCGTGATGGAATCTGTAACCAATCAAATTCCTGGAAACCAACACTTGTTGAAACCAGTTATATATAGAGTGGTTATGGTATTTAAAACTAATGCAAACTCGTGGTTCGTTTGCTGATGTGTGGTTGGAGTTCTTATGATAGAGATAATTACGCTACTCTTATTAAATATATATCATAACATTTGTCTCTGGCCCGTCAACAAAAGCATTTCCAACAGCCTGCTGCAGACTGTTACCAAAAACCGTCCACTTCGCTCGGTAGTGATATCAGACAGTTGAATAGAAAGGAAAGCAACAAACAGCTCTGACAGCCGGGGAGAGCCAGCTAAGAACTTATTGCTAAGTGAAGATAAGCAAGTTAATAAATATGGATTGGACATACTCTGAGGAGATCGTGGAGTGATATAACACACCAGGCAGGCCATCAAAAGGAACCGGAATGCACAAGAACGAATTGGGCGTGGTTCCGAGGGTAACATGGTTGAGATCGTATGAGGACGGAATGGAAGCTTGCGGACAGTCACAGTTGTAGGTTGAACGAGGTGAAAGTGGTAAAAAAGAAGCGCGTGCAACAGAGATGTGAGTTTGAGACGTCATACTGCATTTAAACCTCGAGGATTGATTAATAATAGTAATAGTAGTAAAAATAGTGATGTTCATCTCAATATATGACCACCTTTCATGAAACAAGCATATCAGTGTATTTTATCATTCATTCTTTGTTTTGAGAAGACTTTCAGTAGCATTTTTAACATTTGGCGTTTCTTTTTAAAAATCTCTTTATATTTTAGTCGAACTCACAAAGTCGTAATGAAGATGAGAAGATGGTTCGAAGACGGGCTTTTGCTTGTGCTGTTATGTTAGCATGTGCAGCACCATTGGTGAGTTGTTGTTACTGTTGTTGTTTGCTATAATTTTGACAATTCTGTTTTGTTTTTTTAGATGATCGGTTTTTCTTTTTAGTACTTACTTAGTTTGTGATTCAGGAGAAACAAGTTATGCATCGATCAAATAGCAACACTACATATCGTCATTAAACAGAGCTTGGAATGGCAGTCAGCTCTCTATCTCAACTTGGTCGTTTTTGAAAAGCCTTCGACAGTGCAGCGTCCATCGAGAGGTGATTTGGCAATTACTTCGCAATTATGGCGTGCCACCAACAATTATACACCTCATCCAACAGTTGAACGATAATGCTACGTGCCAAGTAGTCCACAACGGGAAACTCACGGAATCCTTTCAAATGAAGACAGAAGTAAGACAAACCGACTGCCTACTATCTCCAATGATTTTCCTGATTGCGGTAGACTGGATAATGCGACAGACAGCGGCGGACAACGAGGAGACAGGCATAAGATGGACCCACACAAAAAACTTGGAGGATCTTGACTTCACCGTCGGTGGCACAGCGGTTGGGACGCTAGCCGACCATGTACATGGTCCGGGGTTCGATCCCCTGCCGGCGCACACCCGATATCTATGGTCGGCCTGAATTTGGGCTACCGATATCCATGCTGAAAATTCCACACTTGTACTGAAAATACGGTGTGGAATCAAGCTGCAAATCAAATAAATAAATAATAATATGTCCAATTTCTCACAAACTAGAAGATATGCAAGTGAAAAGCAACAAGTTGGCTGAAGAAGCATCCGGAGAAGGTAGGCCTTCAGGTGAACATAGAGAAATCAGAGGTGATGGAGATTCCTGGCCGACAGCAACAGCAACAACAATAGACAACAATCAGCCAGCATAAACGGGAGAAATCTGAAAGAAGCAACCTCACTTAACTACCTACCTACCTGGGAAGCATCGTTTCAACTACAGGCCGACCGAACTGATGAGGATATCAAAGCAAAGATCGGGAAAGGAAGGCAAGCTTTCATTACTCTCAAGTCTGTTTGGAGGTCAACAGCACTTAGTATGAAAAATAACATCCGGATTTTCAACTCCAATGTGAAGTCAGTGCTACGTTACTGGTCAGAGACTTGGCACCACGTCACGAAGGCCAATTCGAACAAACTACAGATTTTCATCAACAGCTGTTTTCGCTCAATAGTTCGCTGAAGATCAGATGGCCAGAAAGAATCAGCAACTGGATCTCTGGGAGCGGACCAACTCATCAGGAACCGATTGTGTAACAAATATGCAGGAAGAAATGGAGGTGGATTGGCCATACTCTGAGAAATCATCAAGTAACATCACATGCCAGCCCATCGCTCGAGTGGAACCCGAATGGGAAGCGGCAAGTTGTTCGCGAGTGCGAGGGTGACATGGAGGAGGTCATGAGAAGGGGAGATGAAAGCATGTGGGTAGACGTGGATCCATGTGAAAACGTTGATAGAGAACCGAACGCAATGGACACGTGCGGCTGGAGCCCTTTGTTCCTTAAGAAACTAATTATATAATACTAAGTTTGTGATTTCTTCAGTTTGCTGGAAATATTCATTAGCTTTTGTCATAGGAGTTATGATTATTTGTCAACTGACTAATAGGTTCTTCACTATTCACATTGGCGTAGTTGTCTTATCTGAGTTGGATGGTTTACTTGCGAAGCTTTCACTATCTTTCTAGACAACATCTTCAGTACATACTTCAACTTGAAGTCAGATTTTAGAATTGACTACACGCGTTTATCAGTCATCTCTTCTAGTAACCTTGAACGTGATTAGTTGTTTCTGGACATTTTCTCACCCTCTGGTCAACTTCTATTGTTATTGGTTATTTTGTTCACCTGAAAGTGTGTGTGTTGACCTTTTTGTTCATGTGACTTCCTTTATATTGATTGATAAATTTTGTCTATTTCGATTTATTTATCATTTACTAAATCACAAACCTGTTACATTATGGACACCAAAAGATGCATCACACAAAATCTACGAATCCTTGTATACTGTCCGGACGTCCAGACCAAAGCAGGTGGCTGACTTAAGTGGGATACCTCCAACCCCCCCTCTCGAGTCTTTAGGTTGAAGTTTTATCCACAAGGTAGTACAGCAACTTTAGAAACTACCTCGCCATTGTTTCTGATGTTCAAAACAAGTTCATACTCCATTCAATGCTTTCGGATTCTGGAGCGTATGTGTACCATAGGTTTGGAATCAAGGTTTTCCAGCTTCTCTACTGGGTAGATCAGCATGTTCACGAGTCCGGTTGTAAGCTTAATACTTTCGCATTAAGCCTTTCACTTTTGTGAGAAACATTTCTGCCATGACGTGAAGGCAGGGAATTCAACTTACCATGAGAGATTACAGGATTTCATCGTGAGCTGACATTGGTTAGAGAACCATTGGAAAGCCTGGGAGTACTGGACAACTGTTTTGTTCTAATTTGGGACTCTTCATCAGTACGCACCCACCGCCAGGGTCCGAACCCAGGACCTTCGGGTTACAAGGCGAGCTCGTATACCATTAAGCCACTGGGACCCAATCCAATGGCCCATGAATTCTAACTCCTGCCAATTCACGACACAGCGTTACCACTAGCCAATGTCTTCGTCGAGTACTTGTCCTCACACCCGACTTCTCACTAGAACCCCAGGTAACTACCAAACTGAATAGGGTAAGTCGCTAGTGAGCATCTCATCGACATTCAAGTACTGGTTTGTAGGGATTTGATTGGTTGGCTAGTGGTCGCGCTATGTCGTGAATTGGCAGATGTTAGAATTCATGGGCCATTGGATCGGGTCCCAGTGGCTTAGTGGTCTACGAGTTTGCCTTGTAACCCGAAGGTCCTGGGTTCGAACCCTGGCGGTGGGTACGTACTGATGAAGAGTCCCAAATTAGAACAAAACAGTTGTCCAGTACTCCCAGGTTTTCCAATGGTTCTGTAACGAATGTCAGCTCATGATGAAATCCTGTAACCAATCAAATCCTTACAAACCAACACTTGATTACCATGAGAGAGTTTATGAACGCGTGAGCGTATGACAATATTTTACGTGGAAGACTTTATTTTACTGACCCTCCACCATATCAGGTCTTTTATGTGGGTGCATTGATATAAGGGAATGGATATCATGTCTTTTAGTGGTTAGTTTCTATTTTTGGGTGCGAAGACTATTCAACTATGCGGATATTTTATTTACTATCATAAAAATGCACTTCTTTTTTATTCAAATGAAGTACTTGATTGAGTAAACGCACAGTTCAGGATAAGAATTCTTTATAAAGTTTCATGACAGATATTTAAAATGCATTCTATCATAAAGCGACACTAAGGGTAATACGGTTTTGGATAAACATTAAAAGTTCTTTCTAACGAAACTGCGTAGTGCCGACGAAACAGCTGTCCAGTACTCCTACTTGGTTTTCAATGGTTCTATAACTAATATAATCAATCCGTGGTCAAACTTGAAACAAACCGAATTCTTACAAACTAAATCTTGGCAATTAATCTGATGCCTGCGAGTGATTGGCTATAGGACGAAGTTTCCTGGAGTTGTAGTGAGATATCGTGGTCGGTGTCGTCCATCTGTTCGGGTGTGAGGACAAATACACGCCTACGACAGTGACTGGTGGCCGTGCTAAAATCACGCATTGGTAGAAGTTAGAATTCATAGGCTGGCCATTGAGCTAGTTTCCGATATTTGAATGAATGGTCTACGAGCTTGACTTGTAGCCGGAAGGTCCCTGGGTTCGTGCTGGTGATGATGAGTCCCAGACATGGACGAAACAGGTGTCCAGTACTCCCCACAGGTTTTGAAAAAAAACTCAAATTAAGTACGAAAACAAAACGGGTGGAACATGTCTTTGATATACACCAGAATGTTAGTTTTCTTTCTCTTGCACATGTATACTAACTACCTCACTATACTTTTTCATTTTATTATTATTATTTTTGTTATTTCAGCTATTGGTCTACCGTTTTATGACCTCCTCAAGTTCGTTTACCTCATTGTGTAAGTTGTTAATGCATGCAATATGTATATCGCCAATTATTATTATTTAATTTTGCTTATCTGTTAAAGATAAATCTCCTAATGTGTTACTGTTAATTAAATTAATCAATATTCTTTTTTTAAAAAACATTCACTGAAGATGCCCATTAAAATTTTTCTTTAAAAAAAACTGGGTTTTAAGAAAAAGACGTAAACAGTGAAGAACATTTCCTCTTCGGTGATTCATTTTCATAAACTGTACAATTGTAATTGTGCGTCGGTAGCACAGCGGTAGAAGCCTCACCAACCACGCAGGTGGTTCGGGGTTCGATATCCGGCCAAGGACGCACTCCTCTACCTTGCTAAGCCAGTAATAAGACTGGTAAAAAGGGAAGGTTGGGCATGAGGAGGTTAGCAATCCCATCCCATGAAAGAATAAATACTACTGCTACCGCAACTTCAAGCTCTAACTTGAAGCCCACCGGGAACGTAAAGGAATAAAAAAAAACACAATCGCAATTATATTTCAAGTATTGGTTTTGTAAGGATTTTGTTTGATTGCATGGAGGATTTCATCATGAGCTGACCAGTAGGGTACAGCAGGTTGAAGATGAGGCAGTAACTCACCGAAGAAGACATTGCGAAATGGTCGCGCTATGTCGTAATCATATTTATTTTGATAACATTATTAGAAGACGGAGATTATCTGAAAAATGTGATGTATTTGCGCAATACATTTCGAACAATCTGATCACACATTTACTTGTTAAGTCAGTATATGTGGAAAAGTTAAATTAAACAAAGTGACAGAAAAAGAATAATTAACACAAACGTTTGGTAATCCAATCAAATAAGGATTATCAAGGTAGGTTAAGAGTAATAACAAACTGTTTTTGAAAACACAAGGGGAGCTTAAGTTTATGAATGGCTATAGCCTCAGAGTATTTCAGTAAACGTCCTTGACCGTTTTTATAGATGACCTTAAAGGCTGAGTTAACATCAACCTTGTGGTTCATCTCGATTAAATGTTTAGCTATTGACGAAGTTGGTAGTCTGACACCTGCATCTATTGGCTTGTCACAATTCGTCTGTTTTTCTAACCGTTTTGGGATATGCTCTCCCACCCTCACGTGCAACGCGCGATTACTCCTCCCTATGTATGTATGTAATTATATTTAACCAAAAATTCATAAGGCCAATCAGATACTGGCAAAATTTGTACTCGAAAAATGTATTACGTAATGTAAGGTGTGGTCTAGGTTGCGGGTGACTAATTGGAAATTAGAAAAGGGGGTAGAAGTTGGCATGATGTAATAAGTGTGAGGAAATGACGAATCAATACACTTGTGTAGAGTGGACAAGAACTAGTGGAAAGGCGATGAAGTGTTTTTATAAAATCTGTATGAAAACTCATTGTAATCAATAAACAGTAGCAGAGTGACAATAAAATAAGGATGATGAGAATAATAATAGTAGTGATAATAGCAAAATGATAGTGAGAATGTTATTCTGGCCACAGTAGGGCGAGTCAATGAATATGGTGCTTTTGAATGCAGAGGTTCAGTTTCAGATCCCGAATAGCCGCCAATGATTCAGCTATGTACAGATGGGCGTATTCGAAGTCCTTTCTTGCGATATTGTGTTTTTATACAGATTTTAGAGAAACACTTTATCGTTCCATATTAGTTTGTTTATTAGATGTATCGCACAGGGAAACAGTATTATTATTTACTGGATGACGTTTCGAACAAAATTTATTGTTCATAATCATATTAATTATAATCACACGACTTTGAAACTTGAATTTTATAGTTTTCTTTGTCCTCTCCTATTTGTCGTAGGGGTAGTAGAATTTTCCAGATATCTGGGTGGACAGGTGTTGAATCATTCCTATTACATGTATTTGCAGTTGATTCGATAAACAAAGCTTCTGTTATCAATCTCTCCCTCCACCCTGTGACATTAGATTTTAAAACTGTCATCCTATCCCATCCTATTGTATGGTTGTGTGTAACTGCATGTAGTGCTATAGTTGAACTATTCTCTAGATTTCTTATCGTATTCGGGTCAACCAATCTAGATTTCGCTAGGTTTTTATGTTCTGCTAGTCTGATTGCGCTTGTTCTACTAGTTTGACCTATGTATTTGACCTGACAATGATTCCAGCAGGATATTAGATAAACTAAATTGTTTTGTTTTAAAGGCTCTACAGGATCCTTTAACCGACAAAGCTTGTCTCTAATTGAGTTTGTGGTTGGTTTGAATGCCGTTTTTATTCCTGCCTTGTTAAGAATTCTGCGTAAGGTTACCTTACGCTACCAATATACATGTTTTCACAGCTTCGTTCCTCTCCAGTACAAAAGAAATCTAGTAAGGACCCTCAACCACAGGGTTAGAGCTACATGCTCAGAAGGGGTAATTGAAGATGAATTAAGCATTGTATATGGTACCTTGATTGAAAATAGCTATCCAGACAAATTCTTCAGGAAACATATGACTAAGAAAGTTGAAAAGGACCATTCACCATCCATCACCAAGAAGCCTTTATACATACCACTGCAATTCAAGCGCGATATAACTAGCGAAATAATTACTAAGAAGTTAAGGAAATCAGTTCAAAGAACTTTTAATGCTGGTAAACTACAAGTCTTATTTTCTACACAACCGATGGTGATTCCTCGATTGAAAGATAAAGTACCTAGACTAGCCACTTCAAATTGTATCTACCAATTCAACTGTGATTTTTATGAAGCAATTTATATTGGCCGCTGCTCTAGGAACTTGATTTCTCGTGCTCGCTCGGGAACATCTACCAGTATGGCTAAGGAAAGGTGTAGTAAAAACCATCAACAGTCCAATATTAGACCACAACCTGGTCCAAACTGGCCGGTCACAAAGCCAGCATTGATGAATCCTTCTCTATCATCTACCACGTACCAAATAAATTACCGAAAGCATCCAGGTACCGCATACTCTGTGTGTAGAAGAAGCAAGTCCAGCAGCACTACTACTGCCCTAGCCGGCCTTCAGTAGAGACTAGAAATTCATGAATTTGTATTATTATCTTCCTTATTTCTCTGATATTCAGTGTATTGTGATGTTGGTGCTATGGAACTGTAATCCATTGATATTATTATTATTGATTCGATGTTATTTAAACAACACTAATGTTGTTCATAGAACTAATTCATTCACTATTATGTGTATATATAACTGTAGCACCTGATGAAGAATAGGTTATCGTAAAGAATATTCTTTGTTCAGTAAACATTCTTTTGAAAATTCTATTTAATCAATTAGTATTGACAGATGACATTTCAAAAGCATGAGTAAGACATAATATTCATTTATATCACACTAAACTGAATATCAGATAAATTAAGGGAAGCAACACAGTATTTACAAATTTATATGTTCCACAGCAGCCCAGGGTAGCAATACTGGCTTGCTAGATCTGTTCCCCTCACCGGTACGACTCCGTTTAATTTAAGCGAATTACAATGGCCTCTGCTATTTAGGGTGTTCGGTATTCAGAGTTCTTTGGTAATTTATTCAGTGCTCGATAGATGATAGAGAAAGACTCTTCAAAGTGACTAGCTTTGCGGCCTGTTTGGACGAAGTTATCTAGCATAGGACTGTCGACGGTTTCAACGACACCTTTAGTTAACTGCATTGGTGGATATTCCAGAGCATGACAGATTAATTCCCCGGAGCAATGGCCAATATAATTGTCTTCACACGAGTAGTTGAATTTCCACATATAAGAAAAACTAGCTAGTCTAGGTGCTTAATCTTTCAGTTGAGCAATCGTAACCAGGCGTGTGAGTTGCAGCTTATCGGTATTAAAAGTTCTTTGAATTGGTTTTGTTAAGTTATTATTTCAGGTGCTAGGTCACCCTTGAACTGTGGTCCTATATATATAGGCTGCAGATACAGAAGAATTCTTTTTTACTAATCTCTTGGCTATATATTTCCTGATGAACTTTGTAGAGTAGCAGTTTTCAATTAACATGTCGCCTTCAATCGCATTTAGTGAACATATAACTCTGAACCCTTATCTGAGAGTCTTTACCGATTTTCTTCTATACCGGAGAGGAATGTAGCTGTGAATATGTGTATATTGACTAAATCGTTCGTATTATTGACCACGTTATGAAGCACTCTACTGGAACTCATGCAGCCAGCCTGGTGGGAGCTTACAAAGTGAGATTTGTCAGGTGAAACGATGACAACAATTGGTGTCTGTCAGGGATGCCCACTGTCCCCATTTCTGTTTAACTTTATCATAAACGTACTAATGGACTTAAATCTAAGTGACTTCAGCGACTGAGGGATTGACTTGTTACAATCAGGAAATAATCTCGTTGACTTAGAATATGCAGATGATGTATTCCTTCTAGGTGCAGATGCTGACAAAATAGAGCAGAGTCTTCTGAATACCTTGAGCTGCAATCTGCGAAGTTTTGGCATGCTCCTCGCTCCCGCCAAATGCTACTGGAGTGACTGGACTACCTTGACTCCTAGCTTAGAAATAGGGAGTGAAGTGGTTGGTATAGCGTGTTCACCACTTCACTTATTTGGGAAGTTGCATCGGCCAGTGCCAGCGGGTTGATCGCTGACGAGATCTCAACACGGATACAGAAGGCTCGTTTGGCATTTACCAGTTTACGCCGTCTCTGGCGTAGACGTGATATCCGGCCGGCTATCGTCCAAAGGACGTGTGTACTGCTCAGCAGTCCGCTCCGTTCTCCTTTATGGCTGTGACACCTGGCTAGCTGTCTATGATCATAGGTGCCTGCCTTCTATTTTTCGTGCGAAGTGGTATAATAAGGTGAGCAATATTGAGGTTAGGCGTCAAGTGCTAGGTAAGGAGGGGAAATCCATCGACGAGGCTGTGAAGTTACATCGACTGAGATGGTTAGGACATGTGTTACGTATGCCTCGCTATCGACCGCCTTCCTTGACGGTCAATGTTAGCTGATATAGGGTCAGCCTGGAAAAGAGCTAGCGGTGGTCAAACC